CCCAATCCTCTAACATAATTGAAACATAAAACTTAAAATTTAAGCTAAAGCTTAGTGAGATCCCCCAAAATACCCCACACAAAAGAGCATATACAAACATGCATGTTGAGTCGACAATCATCAGACTAGATTACCCTCGGGTCCACAACCATCGGCCTGGATTACCCCCAGCCCACAGTCATCGAACTAGATTGCCTTAGCCCAATGAGTCATCTGACTGGAATACCCCAGTCTATTGGCTTATGTTACAATTCTCCCTTACTTGAATCAGATGAGAATAACTCGGGGTAGTGCTCCCACATCTCAGCCTTTGGTTCCCAAGTTCGTTCAGAACCATTCCAATGTTGCCACTAAACTTTGACCAATGATACCAGCTTGTTTCATAAGGCCTTCATCTTCATATCCAAAATCACCACTGGCCTCTCAACATAGTTTAAACAATCATTATCCTGAATATCGTCCAAATGGATCACAAATGAGTAATCAGCTACACTCTCCCCGAATATGAGAAACATGAAAAGTTATGTTGATCTAGTTAAGCTTGTCAGACAATCTAATCGGTTGACCACGCTGCCTACCTTGGCTACTAATCAAAATGGCCTGATGAATTGCCCCTATTCCTGAAGTGTATTACACCCTTTTAGTGTGATACCTTTATTAAAACCATACCGTATACATGGAACTCGAACTTATATCGATGTTTGTCAGCATAACTCTTCTACAGATTCTAAGCTGTTTGCAACCTCTATCTGATCTGTTGAATAAGCTTTATCGTCTGAAGGACCACCTTGGTCCTCTCCGTAACCTTATGACCGACCTTTGCCTAATGAATTGGGGTATGACACTTCCTCCCATAAAGAATCTCGAAAGGTGGCACACTAATACTAGAGTGATAGTTATTATGTAAGAGAACGCAATCAGAGGAAGGTAGGAGTCCCAACTCCCACAAAAATCTATAATACATGCTCTCAACATATCCTCAAGCGTCTGGATGGTCCGCTTGCTCTAGCCTCTAGTTTGTGGGTTATAAGCGGTGTTGACCCACAATCTCATACCCATTTTTTTATGGAACTTATTCCAAAATAGAGAAGTGAACTGAACATCTCGATCAGATACAATGGTAAATGGAACATCATGATGAGTGACAATCTCGCACAGATACACATCAACCATTTTCTCAGTCGAGGAGCTCTCCCAAATAGCTAGAAATTGGGCACTATTGGTCATACGGTCCATAAGGACCCATATTAGCTCAAAACCCTTAGTCATCCCAGGTAACTTGGTGATAAAATCCTTGGTGACCTGTTCCCTTTTCCACATGGGAACCTCCAAAGGCTGCAATTCCCCATGTGGTATTTGGTGCTCGACCTTAACCATCTAACAGGTCAAGCACTGCTCAACGTACCAGATTATTTCCTTCTTCATAGACGACCGCCAATAATTAAGTCTAATATCTCAATACATTTTGTGACCCTTGGGTGTATTGAAAATCTGGACTTATGTGCCTCCTTTATCATAATCTCCTTGATCCTGTCAAAATATGGTGCCTAAACTTGAATGCACCGGGTCAATAATCAGTGGCTATCGGTAGAAAACATGTCGATCTCACCTATTTCTCTCCTGCTTCCAATTTTCCTTCTTGACTCCCTCGGACTGAGCCTACCTAATCAATTCTAAAAGTGGAGAATCGATAGAAGTCCTCATACATAGGCCCCTAAAAGAAGTACTAGCCGACTTGTGGCTCAAAGCATTATTGACCACATTCACTTTCCTGGGACGATACATAATCTCGCAATCATAATCCTTGACCATGTCAATCCATTTGCGCTATATTATATTTAGATTTAATAGATCCATGAGATATCTCAAAATCTTGTCATTCATGTAGATAATACATCGGACCCTATAAAGATTATGCCGGCAAATATTGAGGGCAAACACCATCACCTACAACACTAGATCATGTGTTGGATACTGAACCTCTTGTGTCTTCAACTACTTGGAAGCATACACAATAAACCTCCCTCTCTGCATGTTAATGCCCTCAAACCACTGATAGAAGCATCACATTATACAACAAAATCCTCCACACCCTTTGAAAGGGTCAACACTTGGGCCTCATATAATTTCTATTTCATTGTCTCGAATGTAGCCTGCTGCTCAGAGCCCTATAAAAAGTCCATGCCTTTCCTTGTCAAATGATTGAGAGGTAAAGCAACCTTCGAGAATTCCTAAATAAACCTCGAATAATACCCTGCCAAACTCATAAAACTACTGATCTCCAAAAGGGACTTTATGACCTCCCACTGCATAATTGCCTCAGTCTTAGCCAGCTCGGCTAGAATTCGATTCTAGTTAACAAGGTATCCCAAGAAGTAGACCTCCTGTAACCAAAACACATCCTTCGAGAATTGGGTATAAAGCCTCTCCCTCCTCAATACTCACAACAGCTCTCGAATGTGCTCCTCATGCTGCTCCCTAGTGTTGGAATACACTAGGATGTTATTGATAAAAAAAATGACCAAACTATTGATCATTGGCCTGCATACTCGATCATCAAATCCATAAATCTCGTCGGGTGCATTGGTCAGCCCAAATGACATCACCATGAACTTGTAATGACCATAACAAGTTTGGAACACTATATTCTCCACGTCCTCCTTTCTAATTCTCATCTAATGATACCTTAACCTCAAATCGATCTTGGAGAACCATGCTAGACCTTGCAGCTAATCAAAGAGTTCATCAATTTGATGAAGTGGGTAAAGGTTCTTCATCTTCAACTTGTTCAGCTCCTCATAATCAACACACATCTGATGCGAACCATCCTTCCTCTTTAAAAACAAAATCAATGCTCCCGAGGATGAATTGCTCGGTCTGATAAACTGCATGCCCAATAGCTCTTAAAGTTAAGAGGACAACTTCTACATATACGGTGGTGCTAATCAGTGTGCCTTAGCAATTGGAATTGCACCAGGGATCAGATCGAACCTGAACTCCACTTGCCTCGCAGGAGGCGCGCCAGGTGATTCCTCCGGAAACACATCTGGAAACTCCCCGACCACAGGCACATCTGAAACAGACACCCCTTCTCTACCCAAGTCTCAACCACATATGCGAGATAAACCATACACCTATTTTGTAGACACTATCAAGCCCTGGCAGCAAAACAAAAGGCTGATCCAACCCTGGTATGCTTACTGTAAATAGTCAGTTTCCCCCACTTTGGGTTCAAACCACTACCCGTGGCCCCTCACAATTTATCATGGCACCAAACCTGCTCAACCAATCCATTCCTACAATCACGCATACATCCCCCATTGGGATAAGGATTAAATCGATCATGTAAGACACCACGAAAATCTCTAAGGTACAATCCCGAAAAACACTCGATGTGGAAACCCCATGCTCTTTGGCGATGGAAACTTGTAATGAGCACTCCAATTCTACAAAAGACATATCAAAAATCCTACAAAAGGATTGAGACACAAAGGACCGACTCACTCCCTAGTCAAAAACCACAATAGCAGAAAAGAATATCACTAAGAAGGTACCTAATAGAATACATTCTTAAGTATACAATAAAATAACTTGACATAATCAGAAACGAAAACATACCAGTAATGATGTATGGCGCCACCCTGGCCACCTTTTCCATGAGTTTAAAGGCACAACCCTTGGCCTCCAGGGCCTCAACTTTCCCCTATCATCCATCAGTAATCCTTAAAGTAGTTGGGGCTGGTGCATAATACTGGTATGGCGGCTAGAAAGGGATAGTTTCCCTTCACTTGGTGTAAGTCCCAAAAACACGAACCAACTACTGATCAAACTCAATGAAGATGCAAAACAGTAAGAATAAGAAGGAGTAAAAGCAAAGAAGTTCCAACAATGCACATGTTATATTCAAGCAGTAAACATCTGGTACACTTGGAACACACATATATACAATTTCGACCAACCGTAACACTAACACATTTTGACACTGTTTATAAGGACCGCCCAACCATAAACCTATTTACTGCCGAACACCCGTTCACAGCCGTACACACGTTCACGGCCGTGAACACTACTCGTCCGTACACACAACCGCCAACACACATAACATGACCAAAACCCTACTAAGACCTATACAGATAGATGCCTAACCCAAACCAACAAAAGATGACCTAACAATCTCCCCCTTGGTTTAAGCTAGCATAAATTCAGTCTTCTTAAATAACCAACACATCTGAACTCCCCATAGTTCCCATCTACATCTTTTTTTCAATAATCTTGGCGATCATTCTTGTGAACTCCTTCGCAGCAGCCTCCATAATCTCTTAATCACATAAAATCTGATGTGCAGCAAGGGTGTGAATATCCCTTTCACCAAACTAAAGCAACTCCTTCTTATCAACGAGATCAAAGACACCATCTTTGAACTTGATAACGGAGGTAGTTGTGGCTTCATCATAGACCCAATACTGCATGCCGCATAGCGAACCATCAAAAAAGTTTTTTACGATGGGAATCTTTGTCATCTGCTTCTTTGGAGGCCACATTACATTCTTGAATGACTTTTTGGTGATTGTGTCAGACACATATTTAGCTTTCTTTAAGAAAGATTTGACGGTCCTCATCCCATCAAATCCTCTCCTCACTTGGTTCTCTAAGAAGTGTTTAAAAAATCAGTTGCACGAGGGTCATTGGAAGGATTGGAGAACGGAGCTGCAGAAAGCTCAGCAAGATCCACTTTGGTGAGGGAAGAGAAATCGTTTTTGTCTTTTTAATATTCCACATTGTTACTTTTTCTCTTCACCAGCCAGCAATTGAGTCTTTTATGAAAGTCCCACATACTAATCCCTGACCGGTCACCGTAATTATGCTTAAACCTTTTCTTGTCAAGCTCAGTCACTATTGGTTGAGGCTAGTCTCCACGAAGATTTTGATCAGAGTTACCTTCCTCTTTTCTGTGAAGTGACCTGTTTCCCACCCCTTTTGATTGTAATTCTTGGCGGGGATTACTCCAGTTCAATTTCAAAACGGTCAACGATTGTAGTGGTTCTGGTTGGTGGATGATCATCAGGTAGATCAGAAGATGATGTATCAGTTGGGGCTAGTTGAGAAGATTGGGTTGCACTTGGATCTTCAACTATAGTCTTGAACTTGTCACCAAATTCAACAATCAGCTTATTCTTTAAGTCGAAGTATCCAGACGATAAAGCTCCAAGATTAACTTGCAGAGTGGAGATTTGTTTTGATTTTAAAGCATTTTCTTCTTCAAGATCTGAAACTCATACATCGAGGTTTCCAATTATAACATCTTTTTCAGTAAGAATTTGATTCAAAACTCCAATCTCTACTTTCAGATCAGCAATCGACGGGTTCGCCCCCCTTATATTTCTTTCTCATATAGATATTCTTTTAGCTCGGGAGAAGGAGACAAAATCAGGTTGCGCCAATCACATGATAAGCCTTTTAGAAGCGACATCATGTACAAGAATTGGATGGGAGGAACCTCCAGGAGTTGAAGAGCTCCCGACTTCATAAGAAGGTCATAAAACACTTCGGCCTTCTTGGGTTGGTAGATTATGTAACGCCTGTAGATTCGGGCTAGTCAATTTAGAGATAATAGGGGTTGAAAACGACTTTTTGAAACAAGATTATTTAGAATAAATAACCTTAACCAGGTTGTAGAATACAACTCAAGGGTTTCGTAAATATAAAGAACGCCGAAATCGGAGTTATAACGAAGAAGTTATGATCCGTCGAACTTTTATGGCAAAACCGGCACGACACCGGGAGACGTAAATAGTGAATTTACGATGTAGGAATTTTTAGCCTTAGAAATCTAAATAAAAGTTTTAGCATACATTAAACCAAGAACATACAAAAAAAAAAGAACGCCCTAATCTGACTTCGTATGAGGAAGTTGTGAATTTTCTAAGATTTGGATTAGCAGTGCACAGCCCGAAACTCGAATTTTAGATAGAGCAATTTTTGGCCTACCTGACCTAAATGAGAATTGAAGATCTCATTAATAAGAACTCAACAGTAAAAAGACAAACGAAAACATAGTTCATATGTAGAAGTTATGATTTTTACGCGGATATTTAACATTATAATCTTCTCGTACTATTAAATTTAAGATCAATCAAGAATTAGCCGACAGAGTCAAAATGAAAGTTGTAGATCGTATTTTTACCTATGTCTGGGTATAAAGAACATCAAAAACGGAGCTCGTATGTGAAGTTTATGGATTTTAGAAGTTAGAAGTGTGTTGTGCAAAAATGGGTGACATGACACAATCTTGGCTATTGATTTCTCACCAAGTCTTGCCACCAAATGGTGACATGTGCTACCAAGTTCAGCCATATTTCAACCTATAAATAGAACCTCTCCCACCCTCATTTTTTTCACACATTTCCTATTGTTTCTTCTCTTTACTCTCTCTCTAGTGCTCTCTCTAGCCATGAAACCCCCCGAAAAGCCTAAGGAACCTCCCTAGTACGAGGCGGAATCCCCAGAGTGCTTGACGGCTCCGAAAAAAAGATCTTTCGGCTCTGGAACGTTGCTCCAATAAAATCCCAATTTTCTATAAAACCGCTATAAGTGAGCTACGCCTACGCTGTTTTTAATATAGCTTTTATTTAATTATATTAACGTTATTAGGAACTTATAATAAGTACTTGAGCTATTATTATATGTTATATAAGTATTGTTTAACGCTTATATAACAGTAATAATAGCTAGACTATTAATTAGTCTCGGTGAAAAATAGACTAAACTCTAGTGGTAATAATATTAGGTTTCGTCGAAGGAAATTATTTTTAAGAAGCGAAGCGCTGTCTGAGTTCGGAATCACCACCTTTTCAAGTGAGTGCATGGTCCCTTTCATCTTACATATACAAATATATATATATATATACATATGTATATATATATATATATATATATATATATATATATATATGAAGTATTTTAAATAAACTACCTGTTATGTGTGCATATTATCTGTATACTTGCTATCTATGCTGGATGAACGATTTTATACAAGTTTTATATGATTAAAATTGTATATGTATTTAAATCTACGTAATATGTTGGGTAAAATGTGGGTAGATGAAATAAGATTTGGATGATGAGTTGAGAGGAGATATAGACCATGAGGTAAGGGTCGGAGGTGGATGATGTGAGAAGCCTTGTTTCCAAATGATGGCCCCGTCATCTAGCAGAGTATGGATGACAACTAAGGACTATTCTAGACATTCCAGTGGAACACTAGCAGGCTCGCAACCTGTAGGTGTGGTGAACGATGTGTTCACCGATGTACTCTAAAAACCCATTGACAAGTATTGCGATTGGACTCTCAAAAACGATATTGTCAATAAACGAGATAACCCTAGCAGTTGTGCTCGACGGACAATACTGGAAGCTACGCCTCACATAGAATGTCACAATTCTGGCAGCTGCGCCTAAGTGATAGAACTAGTAGCTGTGTTTGACAGCTGTTTCATTGACAACGATGGACTTCGTACCTATTCCTTAGGATAATGCTTAGGGTATATCCTTAAGAGTAAAGTAGATAGTGGGGATGGGTAATTGGGTTAACAGTTTGATGATCAAGCATAACAATTATATTATTGTAGGTTGAAAACCCTATGTACTCACCAGGTTTCCCAACCTGACCCACTCAGTTTATTTATATCACAGGTGTTGATATGAAGTCATATTACACTGAGAGATTAAGGAGATATAAATCACTAGTGATAACGAATGTAAGTTCTGTTTATGCTTATGTTTCTGTATTGACGATGACATCCCAAATGTTTTAAAATGAATAAAAATCCTTTTCTTCGGAAATGCCCTGATAACGTATTTATCATGTTTTACTAGGAACAAATTCTGCACATTTTTATTAAAAAGAGGTAATCTGATTTTTATAAAGCATAAACAAAATCGGTCTTTTCTAGCCGTGAAAATGGGGATATCACAGTTGGTATCAGAGCATTTGTTTAAGCGAACTAGGAATATGGATTTATTTCTAGACTTAAACTTAGAATGATAAGAAATGACTGTGAGGAGTGTGTCTAATAAAATTTAGGTAATACACCTGAATAGACACAAGCACTAGCTTATTTAGGGAACATACCTACATGCTTTTATGTGCTAAATGACTTATGATATGCATTATATGATCGGATCTATGGTCTGTTGCCGACCAGATCTGGAAACTTTATGTGTTCAAGTTTCTAAACATTTAATTATGCTATTAGAACTGACATGTAACATTTTGGAGTAATAGGGAGATTTACATGTCGATTGTAAGTAAAATCTTTCCTATCTTAACTCCCGTCATTACACACCGACCGTCTGATTTGGTGTATATATCGAAATGACAAGAACCAGAAATGGAGTCAGGAAGGCGAATGGAAATAGGAATCAACAACCCTTAGTGATTGAACAAATACCTGTTGTAGTAACCGCATCTGAGCCAATCACAATGGTCGGGGTACAAGCGATGATCTAAATGATGTTGGATCGTCAAATGGAGGAAAGAAGGCATTTAATTCAACAAAATTGAGAGGAACTTATGATGCCTATTGAATGGCCCGAGCTGAATGATGGGTAGTCAGAAGGAGGGAACTACAGTGGGACAATTGGTCAAGCCAACCCACCGATAGTTAGACGAAACAATCAGGATGGAGGAAATGACGGATGTGGATGCAAGTACAAGGATTTCATTGCATCCAAACCCCCGAGTCTTTCTGGAAACCTATCATCGGTGGAACTTATGGACTCGATCTCCGAGATGGAGACAATGTTTGAGAGTTGCGAGTGTGGCAACAAACAGAAGACCGCCCTTGCGGTCCATCTATTAAAGTTTGGAGTACTGTGCTGGTGGAAGCTACTAGCTAACAGGCTTCCCAAGGGAGAAGCAAGCAAGTTGTCTTGGGAAGATTTCCTAGTGCAGTTAAAGATGCAGTACTACTCCGAGCAGGATCTTCTGGAGATCAACAATGAGTTCCCGAATCTGAAGAAGGGAAGGACAAGTGTAACCGAGTATGCTGCAAGTTTTACGGAGAAGATGAAGCTTGTTCCTTACCTAGTTCCAACTGAGCTCTCCAAGGTCAACAAGTTTGCCCATGGATTACCAGCGGACTTTGGTCTAATGGTCAAGCAAGCAGCCACCTTGAAAGCCGCCATCTGGGCAGCAAAGAATGTTGAGACCCAGATTAGGGAAAAAGGTTAGGAGAGAGTCAAAGTTGGCAAGAAGAGAAAGTTTTAAGGATCGTCAAAGCCCAACAAGGAGATTAAATCCTCGAAGTTTGGAGGAGGAGGAAGAGGCGAAGCAAGATGGTGTGATAAGTGTGAGAAGAAACACTTAGGAAAATGTGGCGAAAAGGTGACTTGTTTCAAGTGTGGAATGCATGGGCATTACACCAATGAATCTACATTAAAAAAATGGTATGTTATAAATGTAATGAGGAAAGGAACTTCAAGCAATACAACCCAAAGAGAGAAGGGGGTACAAGGCCAAATGTTCCGCCAAGACCGAAAGCAAGAGCATTCCACATGATCCTCGACGAAGCAGAGAACAACGTAAGGAATAAAGGATGAAGAATTCATACCCGAAGATCGAGTTATGAAGTAGCCAAGGGGATAGAATCATATAATGTAGCCTATTAGAGGCATAATTTAGGGTGAACTTGAACACCTATGTAATAGTTTCAAGAAATAATAAAACCTTCGGTTTGTTATCTGGTTTGTTAAACTGTTATGTGATTTTCTTGTATGGTGACTTGGAAAACTGCCAGACAATACTTGGGACGAGTAGGAGTAGGTGTGAATTGTAGTAGAGGCCTATATTACCGGAAGAACTGGAATCATGCTTGGATCAGGGAAAGTCACAAGGTTACCAAGAAGCTAGTAATTGATACCTTTTTATTCAAATATGTCATTACCATCGTTTCGGTAATGACTACGAGGATGATTGTTATTCCGACCCTAGTGGTCATATCGAATTGAGTCCGACTATGATAAGTGTGTTACGTGGTTTAGAGAACCATGTTTGATGTAGCATCTGACTTAAGCCGAAAGATTGAAATAAAAGATAATCAAAGTGATCGGTAGAGGTATCACGATAGTTGCTTGTAGCTAGAAATGCTACCTTTTAAGATGTGATTAGAACATGAAGAAATGTATAGTCTTTTCTGGAAGACTCTAAGAGACCTAAGTCTAAGCATGGCAACATACCATGATAAGTCATTAGAATAGGACACATCAGTCCATTGTAGTAATAAAATACCTTATCTTAAGTTTGTTAAGAAGAAGAAGCAGTCTCCAGTAAGGATCAACATTGTGACTTGAAGGTTATAATTTGGATTCTAACGTGAGATAGGGAGCAAGTGCAAGATCGAGCACCACCTGCAATTAGGTTGTCTTAGAGTTAGATACTCGTTCGAAGAAACATCAAAGTTATGGTTATTACTTATTATGAAGAGATAATGTATGGAGTCATCATGTGAGCCCTGTTTCGTTGATGAT